GGAGGGCGCGCGACGGGAGGGCGCGACGGGAGGGCGCGACGGAGAGGGCGCGACGGGAGGGCGCGACGACGGACCGCACGACGGAGGAGCGCACCAACGGGCGCAGTAGGAGGATGCGACGGCCGGAAAGCGCGTCGTCAGGCGCGACGCGAGGCGCACGACGGAAGGGAGAAGCGGGCGGCGGCAAAAAGGCGCGCGACGGAGGAAGAAGCGGCGCGCGACGGAAGTTAGCGCGCGAGAAAGGGCGCACGGGGGGGCGGGAAGTAGCCTAAGGAAGGGCTAGACTTCGAAGATGAGGAGGGACAGCATAGGGCCGTGCTAGTTAGGATCGAATCGAGGTGGCGTGAGCCATTGTGGCTCTGAATACCATGAAGGAACTAGCTTGGAAGAGAAAAGATTGAATTGAGTAGGGAGCCAGAGGCTCTTTTTGTACAAAACAAGGAGCAAGAAAGAGTTGGAAGGGAAGCTCTCTTATTGGCCATAAAGTGGACCAATGGGGGAGGTTGCTTGTAGGGCAAGCAACCACAAAAGTGTGGTGCTCTCCTATTGGCACAATGTGGACCAATGAGAGAGATTGCTTGGAAGGCAAGCAACCACAAAGTGTGGTGCTTGGTGATTGGTTGGTTCCTAGGACCAAAGACCATTTGTTGGAATATGCCAACCAAATGTCTAGGACCAAATCCAATCTTGACCAACCCAAATGTGGGTTGGTCAACCCAACCAACAACCCCCCAATAATTATAATGACTACACCTCCTAATCTAGGCATGCATGTTGTATAGTATATATATTTTACAACAGGGGGGGCGGGGGGGGGGGGAGTTAGGAGAGGCTTGTGGCAACTCTCAAGTCAAAGGAAGGAAGAACAGGAGAAATGGCCACCACTTCCAGCGGTCGAGATCAGTGCTTTTGGATGGGGGGTTGGGAGGGGGAGGGAGAGGGCTGCGGTCCACACTCGATATTTTTTCTAGGCGCCTCAAAAGCAGTCACCCTTCCACCCCCATTTCCACAGAAACACAATGCACTCCCTCCCCCATCTCACAGGTGAGCAATGAACACAGAGGGTACTGAGCACTGAGACCCTGAGCCTTAACCCCTCCCCTCTCTTCCCTCCTTTCTCAACCTCCATCTTCCTCCCTCTCACCGGTGAGCACGAACAGAGAGTCATCCAGCCCCTCGTGAATGTAATTCATAGCCAGCAGACGGTTCTGAGAGAGGGAGGTGGGGGGCGAGTGGGGAAAGTGGGGAGAGCAAGGAGAGCAGGGACAAAGGTTGAGGCGGGAGGGACTAGAGAGTCGTCCAGCCCTCGTGAATGCAATTCATTACCAGCAGACGGTTCTGATGGCAGCGGGGGAAGGAGAGGGTAGGGGAGCCGAACTTGAGTGGAAGAGGTGCCAGGAGGGAGTCCGTCAGACCCTAAATAATGTATTTCAATCAATTCATGGCTAGCACGGGGCCACCAGACGGTTCTGATGGCAACACGGGGGTTGCCAGAGGGGAGCGAAGTGAGGAGGGATGAGGGTTTGCGTGCCAGCGAGCACAGACTAGTTAAGACAAACACCGCAAAAAGCGTAGGTCCCTGCCGCGAAGCCCCTCACCTGCCGGCATTTCTTGAGCCAGGGTCGATGGCAATTCACAGCAGGTAGGCCTGCCCGGCCTATCGCCTCACCTGCCCGGCATTTCTCGAGTCGGGGTCGATGGCAAGGCACTGCTGGTAGGCCTCTATGGCTGCTGGGATGTTGCCCGCGTCTCTGTGCAGCACGCCTGGGAAAGGAGGTGGTGGGAAGATGAGAACCGGGGATGGACGGAGAGAGTGGGATGCCAAGGCACTTGCTGGTAGGCCTTATGATGGCCGCTGGGATGTTGCCCGCGTCTCTGTGGCAGCACCGCCTGGGAAAGGAGGTGGTGGGAAGATGAGAACCGGGGATGGACGGAGAGAGTGGGATGCCAAGGCACTGCTGGTAGGCCTCTAGTGGCCGCTGGGATGTTGCCCGCGTCTCTGTGCAGCACGCCTGGGAAAGGAGGTGGTGGGAAGATGAGAAACCGGGGATGGACGGAGAGAGTGGGATGCCAAGGCACTGCTGGTAGGCCTCTATGGCTGCTGGGATGTTACGCGCTCGCGTCACTGTGCAATATACCTGGAAGGACAGAAAAGCGGAAGCATGGGGAGGAAGGGGAGGAGTACACTGAGAGAGAGGGCGGAGGGCGGATGACAGGCGGCAAGAGGAGACGGAAGCAGTTGCAATGGCATTCCAACCGAACATCTCAACAGCTCAGCACCATTGCACGCCAATTAAACACTCGCACATCTCAACAGATCACTTGTGCCTTCTCGCCTTGTGCCTTGTGCCTTTTCGCCCTCCGTCCTTACCCAGGTTGTTGTGTGCCTCGGCATAAGCGGGGATTGGCGAGAATGGCAGCTTGAATCCCCTTGAGCACTACTGGCCCCTCCTCTACCTTCTCCCCCTTTGCCCCAGTCCCCTCCTCCCCCCCCCTTACCCAGGTTGTTGTACGCCTCGGCATATGCAGGGTTGCGAGAATGGCAGCCTGAATCATGTTGAGCGCTAGGTCCATCTTGCCCTTGGGGGGTTAAGAGGGTGCGGGCGAGAGAGCAGGGAGTGGGGGGAGTGGGGGGAAGGGAGATGGAGGGTTAGAGAAACCATGGCAACGTGTGTGAATCCTGTTGTGCGCCAGAGTTATCTTGCTGCTGACGCCGCTGGTAATCACCAAATATACATGCACACACCAACACACACCTGCACTGCACGGTGTACACCACTCCCAGGTTGTTTGATGCGCACGGCCTTATGGTTAGACATGATCAAAACGCGATTGCGATTTAAATCGCATCGCATGCAGGTGCGATGTTTAAAAAAGCGATGCGATTTAAAATCGCATCGCGCGATTTATTTTTCCAAAAAAAAAAAAATCGCAAATCGCATTTTACCCGCGATGTATTAAAAAAATCGCATGCGATATTTAATTAGATCGCGCAATGCGATTTTAAATCGCATCGAGTTTTAAAACAGAATTAAAAAACACCCCAAAAAAAGAGAAAAAACACATGGCTGCGGGGAAATTGACTCACGGGCAGTCGTAAGCTAGAGTGCAAATAACCAGTGTGGTTTTTCGTAGTGGGTTTCAGAGTGGGTTTCAGTGCAATATCGCGCGCGATTTAAAAAAAATCGCATATCGCATTTAAATCGCGTTTTTTTGCGCGATTAAAATGCGATTTAAATTAAATCAAGCGATATTAATTCATCGCATCGCGCGATGATTTAAAAATTATATTAAAAAAAAAATTAAAAAAAAAAAAAAAAAAAATCGCCATCGCAAAAACGCGATTAAATGCGATGCGATGCGATTTTTTTTGCCCATGTCTACTTATAGTAGCACTCCGAGGGAGCACCTTCTGGTAGCACTCCGAGGGAGCACCTTCTGGTAGCACTCCGAGCCGAGGGAGCACCATTTTGGCACCATGACTTTGTGTGGGCAGCAACTGTAAATGTAGAAATTAGAGGGTAGATGCTTGTTTGATGCGCACGGCCTTCTGGTAGCACTCCACCGCCTACTCCAGGTTGATGCTATGACGCACCTGCCTCACGCACTCCTGCTGCTGCTGCTGCTGTTGCTGCTGTTGCTTGCTGTTGCTGCTTTGGCTGTTAATCAACCAATAATATCCATGCACACACACCAGCACACACCAGCACGTGCACACCACTCCCAGGTTGTTGAGTGTTTGCGAGAAGCTGGGCTTGATGCGGAGCCCTTCTGGTAGCACTCCGCCACCTTGTCCAGGTTGATGCTGACTGCCTACCTCGCATGCTGTTGCTCGAGCTCCTGCCCTTGCTGCCGCTGCCGCCTGCTGCTGCACCTACTGCGTCTCCTGCTGCTTCACCTGCTGCTGCCGCTGCTGCTGCTGCTGCTGCTAATTAGCAACAAGCCACACACGCACCAACACATACCTGCACAGTGTACACCACTCCCAAATTGTTGAGCGACTGCGAGAAGCTGGGCTTGATGCGGAGCGCCTTCTGGTAGCACTCCACCGCCTTGTCGAGGTTGTCCCTGTCCTTGTAGATCACGCCCAGGTTGTTGCACGCCTCGGCGCACTGCGGGTTGAAGTGAAGAGCTAGTTCATACATCACCACCGCCTGGAGTAGCACATATAAGAAGGAGGAGCAGAGGTGGTGCGAAGAGGTGGTACAAAGAGAGCAAAAGGTCGTGTATATGCAGTTCTAGAGGTGATGCGGTCCTTGTAGATCTCACACACGCGGAATGTTGCAAGCCCCGCGCACGGCGGGTTGAAGTGCAAGGCCCGCTCGTACATCACCACACCAATGCCTGCAAGCAAGGAATGGTAGGTAGGGCAGATGGAAGTGGGATGGGAGGTTTTCCCTAGCCCTGCAGATCACCCCAAAGGGCGAGCAGGCGCACCTGCGTGTGTGCATGCATGCATGAGGGCATGTGCATGCATGTGTTCTCGTCTCACCATGTCGAATTTGAGCATCTCCCCATAGGCCACCCCCAGGTTGTACATGGCATCGGCATAGTGCGAGTTGAACAGCAGCACGCGCTTGTGTGTCGGTTGGCATGTGTGTGCTTGCGCGCATGTGTGCATGTGTGCCCCTCGTCTCACCATGTCAAACTTGAGCATCTCCCCATACGCCACCCCAGGTTGTACATGGCATCGGCATAGTGCGAGTTGAACAGCAGTGCGCGCTTGTAGTGCGCCACGCCTGCCGAGATGTCTCCCTCTAGCTTCACCTGTAGAGGGGGGTGGGTGGGGTGGGTGGGTGGGTGGGTGGGTGGGTGGGTGGGTGGGTGGGTGGTGGGTGGGTGGGTGGGTGGGTGGGTGGGTGGGTGGGTGGGTGGGTGGTGGGTGTGGGTGGTGGGTGGGTGGTACGGGCATAGAGAGAGACAGAGAGAGGGAGGAGGATGCGGGAAATGACTGTGCTTGTAGTGTGCCACGCCTGCTGAGATGTCTCCCTCCAGTTTCACCTGTAGGGGGGGGTGGGGGTTTGTGGGGTGGGTGGATGGGTATGAGAGACATGGAGAGGGAGGGAGGAGAGAAGGGAAATGGCACGCTTGCATTGCGCCCCGCCGTCCGACATGTCGCCCTCCAGCTTCAACGGATGCAGGTGTGACGCGCCCTGTGGATCAGTTGAAGAATGGAGTTGATCCGGCAGCGCGCATTCAGCCAAATTCTGGCATCAACCCATAACCCATTTCCAGCCTTACCTTGGTGGCTAGTTGAGACAGCATGGTGGTCCTTCCATCCTGTGTGACCTTACACGACACAGCACTTTTCAGCTGCAAAAGAACTGGGTGCGCAGCTTGCGATTCCTCCCCAACTTGCCTTGGTGCCCTGGGCTGGGTGTGCGACCTTGCGATCACCGTGATGCTCTGCGTGTGGCTTACCTGGCAGGCAGCATTTACCAGCCTCCCAACTGGGCAGCTTCACCTTACCACCGTCACCCATGCCTCTTTAGACTTGCGCGCTTACCTTGGTGCCCAGGTCCGTGAGCGCAATGGCCATGTTGTTGCGCGCAATGGTGAAGTTGGGAGCCACAGCTAGACACCTGAGGGATGGCGGAATGCAGACGGGGAGGGAGGCGGGGGAGGCGAAGGGGGGGAGAAAGGGAGCGGGGGGATGCAGAGGAGCAGGGGAAAGGGAGAAGGGCAGCAGTGCTTGGAGTGAACTTCATTGCGGTGGTGAGGCTGGCAGCAGGCCACGGACACACGGCTGGTGGGGTAACGCAAGGGGGGGGCGAGAGGGGGTCACCACCGTTCGTAGCACATGGTAACTAGAGGCAAGCAATGGCATTCACCCACCCACTGTTCGTAGCAGGCAATAGCGGAGTGTGGATCCCCGCAGTGCTTGTGTATGACGCCCATGTTGCAATGCTGGTTACAACCTGCACTGGTAACCAGAGGCAAGGACCCAGAACACCCCTCCACCCACTGACCGTTCGTAGCACGCAATGGCAGAGTGCAGATCCCCGCAGTTCTTGTATATTACCCCCATGTTGCAATGCGCCTCTGCATACAGCGGCCTCAAGGCCACGGCCTTGTCATAGAACTGCAGGGCTGCTTCATACTGCCCCATCTCCGAGTAGACCACTCCCAGGTTGTAGTAGGCGGGCTGGAGGCGGGGAGGGGCAGACGGAAGGAGTTGGGGAAAAGGGTTGGGGAAAGCGGTTAAGGAGAGGGGCGCGCCTCGGCATACAGCGGCCTCAGAGCCGCCGCCTTGTCGTAAAGCTGCCGCGCTGCCCCATCTCCGAACGGTCCACTCCCATGTTGTAGTAGGCGGGTGGAGGGTGGGAAGTGAGGGGGAGAGTGGGGCTTTTGAGTCGACTCTAAAGTCATCTTGTAGTGGCCCTATCTCCGAACGGTCCACTCCCATGTTGTAGTAGGTGCGCTGAGGGTGGGAAGTGAGGGGGAGAGTGGGCTGCGCGTGCATGCCTCCGCGTCGCCGTAAAACTGCAGCAGTGCCTCGCAACAGTGCCTCGCAGCGGTGCCACCACGTGCCTCGTACTGCGTACAAACTGATTTATGAGTAGACGACCCCCAGATTGGAGTAGGCCACCTGGAGGAAGCGACTGCACTTCACCGCACTGAACCAAACATCACCCCATCTTCATCTGTGCCTCACCGCGTATCTCTGTCGCCAGCAGCAATGGCTTCATAGTACTTGACAATCCCCTCCTGCTCTGACCGCCCCCCTACACAGCACAGAGCCACATACCACCACCGCAGATTACCTCATAAAACCGCATCTCACCGCATATTTCTGGTCAGCAGCTATAGCCTCGTAGTACTTGGCAATCCCCTCCGGCTCCGACCCCCCGCTTCAGCCAGCGCGTGCCCAAGTCAGCATTACACGGCTTGCTGTGCAACACAGAAATCACACACTACCGCATACCACCGACAATCATTGTCTCACCGCGTATCTCTGGTCTGCGGCAATGGCCTCGTAGTACTTGGCAATCCCCTCCTGCAGCCCGCACCCCCCCAGCTTTCAGCCGCGTGCCCAAGTCCAGTCAGCACCACGGCCAGCTGCTCTTGGGCTTCTTTGCACCCTGGGTCCGCCTCTAGTGCCTTCCTGTACGCCTGGGAAATTGGTGCGGGGGCGTGGGGAAGAGGGGTTAAGGCACACAGACAGCAGCCTTGTAGCTTCAGCCGCGTGCCCAAGTCAGTCAGCACCGCGGCCAGCTGCTCCTGGCTGTGCCTCCTGCACCTGGGTCCGCCACCAGTGCCTTCCTGTACGCCTTGGGAGGAGAGAGGGGGGGTGTGGTTGGGAACGGGCGGGGGGAGGGGAGGGAATTGGAGGACGAGAGATGCATAAAATTCATCCACATTCCATCACTCCCCATCCACATTCCCTCACTCCCCATCCACATTCCCTCACTCCTCTGCTTGCTACTCCTATCCCTAACCCATGCAACCAACCATAACCCATGCAACCAACCCATAACCTATGCAACCAACCATAACCCATGCAACCAACCATAACCCATGCAACCAACCCATAACCTTAGTTGGGCACTAACGATTTCTGGAGTTTCGTAATCGTAATATAACGCGATCATTTACGATTTCGCTAACGAACGGTGACTAACGCGTTAGTCCGCGCCGGGCAGGTAAAAAAATCTCTGAGAAAATTTCTGGTTCATGATGAAAGTTCTCTAGAGAAATCTTTGGGTCAGTCAGCATGCAACTCAGAATTAGGGCAGATCAACGAGATGGGGAGCTAGCAGATTTATACGTCGTGCTAGGGGGTGTTAGTGAGCTGCGACTTAGTAGCTTGTAGGTTTAGAGAGCAGTCGTAGTGCTCGCGGTGAAAGTTAGGAAGGAACGGTAAGATGCGAACCGAGAGAGAGGGATTGGGGGAGGGGGAACGTGTTGTGCAAGGGAGGGCGTGAGATGGGTTGCTAAGGGGGGTAGTTGCGTGGAATGTGTGGAATTCCCGCGATTCTTGGTTACATTCTGGAATCCGTGTCGGTGGAATTTGCGGACACAATAAGAACACGAGATTCCAACACATTGGAATTCCGCGCGGAGGTTTCATTCCTCCGGACAAGCCTCTGCCGAATTCCTCCAACACGCATTCCGACGTGGAACTCCAGAGTCTTTGGAATTCCAAGTCCTTGGAATGGCGTGTACCAGAAGTACACGAAATTCCAACCACACAAAATTTCGCGTGGGCATTCCATTCGTCGAGAAATTTCGCCACGGCGGAATTCCGCCAACAGTAAGTTGATGGAATTCCAACGAATCGAATTCCGCACTGGAATTTCAAACCTCTCGTGCACTCCAGGGAGACTTACGCATAGAATTGCGTGGCGTACAACCCACGCATTTCTGATCCATTTTCAAAATCGCCAAGTCGCCTTCAAACGCCAGAGGACTGAGACGAATCTAAATACCTCGTCATTAGTTTCCTGAAGCCACACAGATATCTGCAACCTAAGCTACTTTCACGTCCGACTGCCTCCTAACTTCCCATGGCGTCTACTACTAATGAGCACCCTGTGTGGAAGTACTTTCTCGTGCCTGAAGGTTCCGCATCGAATGCAACTATTAAGAAGTCCTGTAGATTCTGCAATAAACAATGGTCCCTTACCGTTAGTCGAGCGCAGGGGCATATTCTTTGGAACGACCCTAACATTGCCGCATGCAAGAATGCCCCTCCGAAGCGAAAGAGACTCTACGTAAGGTAGTATCGGAGAAAGCGAGTGGGCAGGAGGCAAAGAGGATAGCCTCCCAACGGACTATGGACGCTTTCACCAAGCAAACAAGTGAAATCGCCAGTAGCAGTGCTGGCGGCTCTACATCCGCAAGCGGCCCGGGGGACAGCTGACGCTCCAGGAATGTCGTCCCGAAACTGCAGCATTGACAAGCGCGCAACAGGCGGTTGCTACCTTTTTCCACGTTTGTCGTATCCCTCCCAACGTCGCCGAGCACGCCGCTTTCAAGGGCATGTTGCGGAAGGTGTCTGCTGCTGGGATTGGCTTCCCACCACCAGGGCGAAAGCTCATCATGGGACGCCTACTGCAGGATTGCAAGGCTAGCACGGACACAGCCCTGAAACCGGTGAAGGAATCATGGATCTATTTCGGTGTGAGCATTGCGACTGACGGGTGGACGGATCTTTGTAGCCGTCCCCAAATGAATTTTTTGGCGGTGAACACCACAGCGTCGTCTTTCTTGTTCGGCGTGGACTGCGGAACGAAGAAAAAGGGAGGCGATTTCATTGCGGAGCACCTCAAAAGAGCAATCACTATGGTGGGAGCCGGCAATGTCGTGGGGTTGCTAATGGACGGGGCGAGCCCTAACATTAGTGCGGCCAACATCATCAAAGCTACCTACCCGAAGGTGCAGTACATCCGGTGTGCAGCTCACACCCTGAACAATCTAATGAAAGACATCGGGGGGCGGAAGTGGGCGGCACGCATCATCACCAAGGCGCAGGATCTCATCTCCACTCTGAAGAATGCGCAGTGGATCACTGGTCACTTCAGGGAGCAGAATTCTCTCGTGTTGCTGAAACCCGCCGGCACTCGTTTTGGGACAAACTATATTGCACTACAGCGTCTACTCGATGTGCGGAAGGTTCTTGATCAAATGGTGCTTTCTTCAGGGTGGCGTGCTTTTGCGCACGGCAAGGAGCGGATGACCAAGGCACGCGAGACAATCAGGGATGACAAGTTTTGGGCTGGAGTTGAGAAGGTGGTACAGATTTTGAAGCCAATCTACATGCTTCTACGTGCAGTTGATGGAAACCAGGAGGTTATGGGGAGGATCTATGAGATGATGCTCGACTTGGAGGAGTCCACCAAGCAGGCATGCAGCTGCTTGAAGGCGAAAGAACGGCAGTGGGTTGCGGGTGCTGTGCGTCGCCGCTGGAACGAGAACATCAATTGTGCATTGCACGTGGCGGGGCGGATTTTATATCCACCGAACCAATATGAGAAGATATTTGGAGCGGGGGGGATGCTGAATGCTCGGGAATCTTCAAGCAGTTTATCGCAGACTACTACAAGGGGGAGTACACTGTTGACAAGGATGGGACGAGGGTTTTGATGGCTACAACGGTAGAGAAGGAGATTCTCATCTATGTGAAGGGGGAAGGCGCCATTGGTGAGGCTAAGGCACGTGCCGAGCATGAGCTCATCAAGGCTGGTAAATTGGACCCCACTCATTGGTGGGAGTTCAATGGTCATCAATGTCCCAACCTCTCCAAGCTGGCTTGCAGGATTCTTAAGCAGTGCGTGTCTGCTTCGGCATGCGAGACGAATTGGGGGTGTGGGAGTCCATCCACACAACCCGACGTAACCGCCTAGGTCCTAAGCGCCTCGAGGATCTAGTGTACGTGACACACAACTACCACACAGTGTGCAAGTTGCATGAGGATTTTGAGAAGCGTTTTCGGAAGGAAGGGCATGCGTCGATTAACATCGACGAGCAGCAGCACGATGACTACGAGCCGCTTGACGACGACGACATTCCAGAGGGATGCATACTTTGAGGAGGAGGAGGAGGAGGAGGAGGAGGAGGGGAGGAGGAGGAGGAGGGAGGAGGAGGAGGAGGAGGAGGAGGAGGAGGAGGAAGAGGAGGAGGAGGAGGAGGAGGAGGAGGAGGAGGAGAGGAGGAGGAGGAGGATGTAGAGGGGGAAGAGGAGCAGGAGGAGGAGGAGGAGGAGGAGGAGGAGGAGGAGGAGGAAGAGGAGGAGAGGAGGAGGAAGAGGAGGAGAGGAGGAGGGGAGGAGGGGGAGGAGGAGGAGGAGGAGGAGGAGGACAACGAGGATGACTAGGAAGAGAAGTAAAAGACAGTTGGAGGAATAGTAGTAGTACCCCTATATGTGAGAGCTTGTGTGAGTGAACCAATATGTACATGTTCATGTACGTCACCTTATGACTCCCTTCTGTTTTTTTTTTTTTCGGGCAGCTCCAGAAAAATTTCAGCCTGACCGTAAACGTCAGTCCAAAACGGCGTCACCGTTCGTAAACGTAAATAAACTACGTAATCGTTCGAAATCGTAAAACACCGTAAACGTTAGATCCAACTTAGCCATAACCCATGCAACCAACCCATAACCCATGCAACCAACCCATAACCCATGCAACCAACCCATAACCCATGCAACCAACCCATAACCCATGCAACCAACCCATAACCCATGCAACCAACCCATAACCTATGCAACCAACCATAACCCATGCAACCAACCCATAACCCATGCAACCAACCCATAACCCATGCAACCAACCCATAACCCATGCAACCAACCCATAACCCATGCAACCAACCCATAACCCATGCAACCAGGCCAAATTTTATCGACTTGCCCACACACACACCACACACACACACACACCACACACACACACACACACACACACACACACACCCACAGACACCCCCCCCGTCCCCCCCTCCCCACCCCACACACACCCCTTCCCACACTAGGCTCCCTTCCCATGCCTCCCTGGCTCTCCAGAGCCCCAATCCCGATCCCAGCTCTGCACACTTATTCAGCCACTGACTCAGAATCTCTCTCACTCACACACACCCGCCCTCTCCCCCATCGCTCCCTTTCCCCCTTACTTCCCCCTCCTCCACTCTCCTACCCTTCCCCCTCCCCCCCCCAATCTCCTCCCCCTTCTCCCCTCTCACCTCGATCGCCTCTAGCAAGTGCCCCTCCTCTTTATACAGCACTCCGCACTGCGTCAGCGCTACAGCATGCGTCGGGTTCAGCTGTAGCGCGGACACGTACGCCTCAAAAGCCGCGCTCAGCTTCCCCTGCGCCTGCAGACACTGCCCCTTCCCCACCAGCGCTTCCGCCGTTGCTGCTGCCGCGGCCCCCCGGCGCCCGCCCCTCCCGCTCCCCCTCCCCCTCCCCCGCGCCCGCTACCCCTCCTATCGCCCCCACGCCACTACCCGTTCCATTTCCCCTCGTCATAGTCACAGCTGCTCCTAATCTCTCCGCTATAATCGCCTCGTATATAGCGAGCGCCTCGTTTACTTTCCCACGCGACCTGAGCATAGCAGCATAGCCGAGCGGGTCCTTGACGGCACTGAGCCGCCCCGCTGCTGCTGCTGCGGCGGCGGCGACGGCGGAAGCGGAGGCGGCGGAAGCGGGGATGGCAGCAGCGGGGATCAAACCGCCCGCGCCGTTTGCGGCGGCGGCGGAAACGCCCCCCGCGACGGGGAGAGATGCGGAAACCGGCTGCGGGTATGTCGCGGCTGCAGCAGCGGCGGCGGCGGCGGCTGCGGCGGCGGCAGCGGCGGCTGCAGGGTCGAAATGAGACGAGACGAAACCGTTGGTTGGGAAGCCGGGGTGCGTGGGCATGACAGGGGCTTGCATGGGGATTAAAGCCGAGCCGGACGGGGACGCGGCGCCAGAGCCTCCTAAAGATGCGAATAGCGGGTTACCTAATGTGCTAGGATTCAACCCTGGTGCGGCGCCGCTGATGTGGAGGCTGCTGATTGGATGATGGGCACCAGGGGGGAGAAACGGGATCAGAGCCGCAGAATTGCCTGGGTAAGGAGACGCGAACGGCACGTGGCCGTGCGATAGGGAGATGGACGGCTGAGATGCGCTGACTGGCGAAAATCCTGGAATACCCGCGATTGATTTTAACGAAGCGAGCAGGTGGTTGTGCTGCACGGACGCTGCAGCTGGTGATAATAGCGCGGCGTGATTATGGAGAGAGCCGGCTGGCGGGAGCAACATCCATCCACCAGCAGCCGCCGCCGCCGCAGCAGCAGCAGCAGCAGCCGCAGCCGCAGCCGCCGCAGCCGCTGCTTGATTCCCGTCGTGCTGCTCCAGAGCGCCCGCTTCCGAGCCAAAACCGCCGTTTCCGGCGCCGGAAATTGCGCTGGGAATCGCGCCGGGAGTTGCGGTACCTGGTCCGCCGCCTCCAAGGCCGCCGCCGCCGCTGCCGTGCGGATCAGCAAGCGGCAAGCCCGGACTCATGATCCGGGAAGCGCGGAGACGCCAGCTTGACGGTCAGATAGGCCGCAAGCGATTAGGGTTTCGCATGGCTAAGAACGTCGAGGAGGAGCGTTCTGAGAGCAAACGAAGGCTGTTATTGAGGTAATTAAGGGCGTTGTGGAACGAGCCTTAGACGAAACGTGCGTCAGCGAGAGAGTTCTGACGGGTATGCTGGCGATAAGTGCGGCGACTGACGTTTAGCTAAGCGCAACAGCTGTGTTGATTCCTGGAGTGCGACGTGGTAAACACCGCGATGAGGGGACGGATTGCGATGACGAAAAGGCGAGCGGAAGCAGGCTTGACTAATCGTCCGTTCTCGGAGGCACGCACGCACAGAGGTGATCTTTGGGTCGACTCAATAATTGTCCGTTCTAGGATGCGCGCAGGCACACAGAAAGGCAGGCAGGTCGCAAGCTAGTTGCTGACGGAAAAACTTCGATGGTGAATCGGTCCAATCAAAATGCTGAAAAGTACAAATCCCGTTAGGGGAAAAAGAGGGAGGATCTAGAGGGTCTGATCACTCGGAAACGCGATCCTACCTTCCAAATTGCGTAGCACTGGAAGTGATTAAAGACACCGAAACCGGGACGGCTGGTGAATAAACACGGTAACTCACTAACCCTAACCGGCAAAAGGCTGAAGCAAGCGGCTTCTACGTTCGGGCAGCTTGGAATAACAGGTGCAGTCCAGGAATGCTAATGTGCTGAGCTGGCATCCGGCATTCGTGCTGTGCATGGAGCAAGGGGGACAGCAAAAGCGGACAGATGGGGGGAGACCAGCAACGGGTGGACAGATGCGCAGTGGAAGCTGACAGGCAGGGGGAAGTGGTGTAGATACACGCACGGAGGAGGTGGAGAAGGTGGGGGTGGTGGGGAAGGAGGAGATCTCGAGGGGTTGTTGGGCGACAAACAAAATAAAACCCGCGAAACGGCTGACGAAGATTGAATGTCAGCCTTTAGTGGCACTATCAGGTTACCATCTAGCAGGAAAAGTCGCGAAGAAATGGTTTGAGGGAGTTTCAGGAAATGAACGCTCAAGATTGTTCTTCCTGGCTAATCGAGGGCTGCATGTTGTGCTGCCTTTCCAGGTTCGAAACTTGAAGAATCGGCGGCAGAAGACGAGGTGCACCTGTACTTCTGAATAGCCCAAACAGGAAATCGACCGTTCATATCCGTCAAAAGGGGTTTTGCTCCTGTAACCTGTCCCCCGGAACTGGGAGAACCAAGAGTTTGCATACCCACATTTACGTTCGGGAAGCCGTGCGAATCAACTCCTTCCATTCGAAGTTACCATTTGGCGAGGGGATGCGACATGGACGATCCCTTTATTTTTGCTGGCGATCTGTGAATGGCTGCGTTGCCTTCGGGGCAGACCTGTCGATTGAACGGCGCCTGAAATTCTACTCGTAACAGCCACCTTCGCTATATGATTGTATGCAATCCGCATTACAGTTTAGACGGCGAGGCTGTTCCACAATCATATATACTACATCATCACCTCACTTCTCCTTCAAGCATGGTGTGTGCAATGTGCATGCATACATGTGCTTCCATGCACCCCAAATATTTTTTTAAATAAACTGGGAAACTTTCAGTTACCATCGGTATTTATATACAACCCCGACATAAGAAGACTCCCAAGGATTTGCTTTCACGTGTATATACATGCATGCACTATCGCAAATAACTCGCTGGTGCAAATTTCATTATCGTTCCTTCCCACAGCTTAGGTTCATGCAACAGGCAAGCTGTTATGTTGGACAAAAACAACGATGCGACCAGTTTAGAGTATGGTATGGTACGACATGACATGATCTCCACCAAGTGCATTTCAATGTCATAATTAAAAATGTATCCAGACCTTTGCATCTCCCATGGCTTATTGCTGATGCACGTGCCATTGTTGGAATGGTCTGTAAGGTCGGCTGGACGAAGTCTCCATGGCGGGCCAGATGAGGAACAGCCTCACATCGTGGCTTGGAACTCGAATGCTCAGTTGCATCGTGTAATATTTCGACAGGTGTTGCAGGAGACTAAATATAGAACCTGCAAACACGAACACTTGGAAAACCTCAAGTGTTAGCCTAGGATCTTTACTGGAACGGTAGACTAGTAAGACAGCGGAAGTCTTGTAAGAATGAACCTGAGTATATATTTCTACAGAAGTTAAGTTTCAAAGTTCTCAAAGTTGAAATATCAAGGTTAATAATAAAAGGACAGAACAAAGACTTATAGCTCTAGGAAATTACCTGTTCGCTAATGTACCTGTTCATCACTATCGCGCTATGCGCCCTAGATGATAATGAAGAGGTGCGACTATTCGCGTGACTGAAACGACTGTCCTATGACGAGTGCTATTTGCTGACGTCATCCTACCTATTTATCTTCTACGGTAGGATTCGACACTATCTATCGATAAACGACTTACAGAAATGCTAAGTATGAAATATATCACAACACTCTCCTTCATTTCTGGAAGTCCGATAGAGTCACGTCTTGAAGATCCCGCAAAGTTTGTTACAGTATTGAAACTTGTGTCGTGTCAGCTTCTTCGTGAGGAAATCGGCAGCCATTTCGTTGGTCGGACAATAAACCAATCGCATCCTCCCCTTCTCGACTTCATCCTTGACGAAAAAGTAACGCAGAGAAATATGTTTCGTTCTGTTGACGAAACCAGGCTGGTGTGCGATGCGAATTGCACTTTGGTTGTCGCAGTGCAGGGTAAACTGGGTAGTCGTCGTTAACTTCGCTTCTTCCAATAGTTCCTGTAAGTAATGGCCTTCACGTGTTGCTGTGCAGACAGCGATGAACTCAGCTTCAGCAGAGGAGAGAGCAATCAACTCCTGTTTGGTCGAATTCCAAGAAATAGGTCCGATAGTTTCAAGCCGATAGATGAATCCAGTGCGTGATCGTCGATTAGTAGAGTCAGCAGCGTAATCGGCGTCGACAAAACCGTGTAGGTATAATGTTTTGCAACTGATGACGTTGTAGACTAAACCGACGTTAGGTGTCGATATAAAATACTGAAGTGCGCGGAGAAGATCAAGCTGATGCTCCTCTTCAGGACGGCGTAGGAACTGAGCGAGCTGACTGGCCGCGTAAGCTAGATCGGGACGACAAGTGACAGCGGCGAAGAGTAGACAGCCTAACTGCTGTTGATAGATCTGTAAACCGGTTGAATTTAACAGTGCAGTGTTCGGTTTGTGGTCAGTCGGTAGTGAGCGGTACGGTGTAGAGACTGCAGTAGGAGTGAGGTTGAAGCGGGCAGCGAGCGTTGCTGCGTACTTTGAAGCGGTGAGATGAATAGTCGTCGGTGAACAGGTAATGTTTAGACCAAGAAACTGTGAGACTGTTTCAGAGACGGTATGCTGCAGAGTTTTCTGTAGTTTCAGAATGAAGATATCAGCAAGAGAATCGGTAGTACTGACGTAGAGGATGTCGTCGACGTAGGCGACGAGCAAAATATAGTTGTTGCCGTCGGTCAGAAGATACATTCCATGGTCATGCGGTAGCTGACGAAAACCGGCAGTGATCAGCTGTGAGTGGAGGTACTGCTGCCAGAGCCGTTTAATGCCGTATAGCGATTTTCGGAGACGGCATACGCTCGGTGGGTTAGTAGCATAGGAATGCGGGTACTCTACTAGGATGAGTGCGTCGACGGGTGCGTAGAGAAACGCATTTGACACGTTGATTTGTCGAAGTCGGAGATTACGGCAGGCGGCGACACAGGGTAAAATCCGAATGCTTGTATGTCGACCGACAAGAGCAAAAGTTAGTTCATAGTCGATGTCGTAAGTCTGCTCGAACCCGCGGACGACCCATCGCGCCTTGAATTTCTCAAACGACCCTTCTGCATTAGTCTTGACGCGGAAGACCCATTTTCCGGTAATTACCTTCTTTTCTTTTACTTCTGAAGTCGGTATTAAATCTCATGTGCCACGATTCTTGAGAGCTGCTAGCTCTATGTCCATGGCTTCACGCCATTTTTCTCGGGGAGGACTCGTAAGAGCTTGTCAAACGGTTTTCGGTTCAGGTATTTTACTGTCGTTGTGCTGTACTGCGACTGCGAATCCCAGTATCTGTAATCATGTTTCTGTAAAACGCGGACGTTCTTCGTTTGCACCTGCGAATTTTTCTTCTCGTCCTTCTTCCCCCCCAATTTCGTCAGGTGTAACACGTACTGCTTCGTCGGAGACGACGGGCATCGGCTGTTGTTGGCGATCGCGTTCATAACTGAGGTGAACTTCGCGAACATCTTGGTCAACATCTGCAAGAGGAATGAATGCATGTATGCCGGTCGAGGTGACAGGTTCGGGAATGTCTGTTGCGGCAGCTTCGGAAGCTTCAGAAACATCCTCGTCCTGCACATCAGCTTCGGCTTCGACAGTTGCAAATGCACGCGAGCCTTCAAACAGCCTGGCGGGGTTGGCAGCTGCTGCCTGGTGAGCACGAAAAACGGGCAAGGTGAGTCTTTCATAGAAGAGACAATCCCGTAATGGGACGATTTGGTTGGAGCGAATATCCAAAATCTTCCATGCGTGATACTGTTTTTCGATGCCGAGATGTACCCCCCATTTTGCTCGTTCGGAAAATTTGCCGAGTGTTGCAGTTGGAGGACGAAACTGCACGACACACCCGAAAACTTGTAAAAGTTTGGTACTTCCCACTGTACGTGTCCACTGCAGGTGTGGAGAAGAGAACTCGGGCAGGGACGTTGAAGAAAGAAGATTGTGTAACAGCACGGCGTGGTCCATCGCATACGGCCAAAAACGCGGTGGAAGGGCTGTGTCACAGGATCGAATGTCCCGAGGAAAGGTTTGCTCAATGTTGCCCTATCAATCAGTACAAGGTGCTTTTATACTTCCAGAATACATCAGGTAACCAGGTTTATCCTATCCAAAGGGAATAGACCCTTCTAGAAATAGAATCACCCTGCGTATAGCCACGCGAGGCTATTGGCTATAAGGGATTACGGCAGGATTACGCTAGATATAGCGCGCCAGTACATCCCGAGCCTGGTCGGTGATATAATCATAATAATATGATAAACCCAAGGATAATGGAAAATGAGGAATAGGAAACCAAATGAGATGAGATAAAGACCAAATGAATCAGGAGTGAAAGAGGAATGAAATAGAAATGAAATATGGAAAAGGGGAAATTGGTGTAACGGTGTCGTACTCTCACACTTCCCCCCCTCAAAGCTGGGTGGTAGACGTAACACCCTGCTTGACAAGGTAGTCGCGAAGAGGACGACGGGCGTTACCCATGTCGAATTCACAGACGAAGCCTCAGAAGTATCATAACCCTTCCAGCAAAGAAGAAGCTCCAGAGTGCCAGTCTGACGATGACGGTGTCCGAGCACGTAGTTGTCACATGGCGTGGATGAACACCGGCGGCGACGGTGGTTGGCATTTGGTGTAGAGCGTGTTTGGTCTTGATAGGGTTTAAGAAGCTGGTATGGAAGGCGGTATGGATCTTCTAAGTGGCTGGTAGGCGGAAGCGGAAGTTGACTGAAGTGGCCCTTGCTTCAACGATGATAGACCCGCAGAAGCAAGGTTGAAGCTTGGATGGAAGTTGGCTGATGTCGAGATTATGGTGTGGATGACTGTAGTGATAAGGGGTCAAGTGCTTGTGCTGATGTTGGATGTCCAAGAGGGCGCTTGTGTGGTCGATGTACAAGATGGTGGACGATGGCGATGAAATCGGAAGCCAGTTGGACTGTGGCTGGTATGGTTAGCTGTTGTGGTGTGATCGGGTGGCGTCCGTAACAGACGAAGTACAGCGTCTGTGCAGTAGCGGCGTCAGGAGCATACTTGTAGGCAAACTCCAGGACGGGCAGATGCAAGTCGGAGTTGGAGATGTGAATGGTTGGAACAGTGTGCTGTAACGTGCAGATGAGTGGCTATGTTGTCCGATCCGTGCATGCTGTTACCCGCATCTGGTCCACGTGTGAAGATCACCAAGTGTTGGTGGTATGGCAGTCATAGTACTGCTTCTGTAGCAGTGTTGTATCCGTTACATGCAGCTTCTGTCGAATGATGGTCCATGCCGTAGTGTTGTCGCGAGTCGTACCCACTGGGCATCGGAGTGCTGCGGATTGGAAAGCAGAATCACGAGTAGTAACTCTATCCACCACGCGATCTGCTAATCACACTGCCTTGAGTACAACAGCACATGCCAAGTGCTGCTCAGCGTATCCCTTGTGTTCAGAACCATGCGAGGGGTTGGAACCATAAACGCAAAGCTGGTAACTTCCAAAATCGGCGCCAAGTAGTTTCCCTCGGTGGTTGCTCAAGCAAGGAATCTCAGCTGCGTAGATATCCCATGGTGATGGGTTAGGATATCTGGGAATATTCGGGGTATCCCCCAGTAATCCTCTCCCATTTCCAAATGAGTATTGCTGACAGCCAATCCAGTATGACCTTATGCACGTCCAGTTTAGCACGGAGGCCATCGGTAGGCATCGGTGTCTGGCGCACATATTGGGATAGGTCTTCTGGTGCCATCATGCGTTGTCTGTTGCTGTCCTTGAAGTAGCATTGATGTCGAAGATGTCTCAGCTACCCAGCATCAGTGTTGAAGTCTGCTCCATTTCGGCAAACAGGGGTGTTGTTGGAGATACGCGGAGTCCACTATCCGGAGTGGCGTCGGCGCTCCATTTCACGCCTATCTGCTTTCGTGGAGTTGGTGCTGGTGATGGATTGGTTGTGACGCAGGTTTTATGACTTTAAGGAAAGCCATAGGCCATGAGGACTTGTATACCGGTAGAGT